CGTGGCAAAACGACACCAATCTTTCCTGCTCCGTTTCCGAGGAAACATTCCCCAAGTCCGAAAAGCCGACCGAGTCGAGGAAAACGAGCCAGAGAGTACTCTAGCCCGACCGGGCGTTCCCGGTAGACGAAAATCGGCATCCTCACGTACCGCACGACACAACAGGGGGTAGAGGGTACTCTACCTCTGCCGAGTGTTCTCGGTAGTCGCGCGGTACACCATAGCGACTACCCCGACGTACGGGGGTGGAGGGTACTCCGCCTCCGCCGAGCGTTCTCGGCCGTCGGCTAGCGTCGCCGTTATTTTACGTGATTCCACGCGGTCGCCCAGTAATAGTACGGGGTGGAGTGTTCTCCGCCTCGGCTGAGTGTTCTCAGCCACTGGACGCCCGTGGAATCCGTCGCGAACTAACCGGCACTCGAACGTGCCTACGAAACACCGCCGCGAACTACCCGACGCGATCGCCGGAAATTGACAGTAATCAGCTGATTAGCTATAAGAAAGCAAACACGACACAAATAGAACATCTCGCGATATAACACAGTGGCAAGCATTCGCGCTACCACTACACTACACACTCACACAGACACGTCAGAGAATTATAGCTAGGTATTCGCGCCGACCGGCCTAGCCGGCACTTTGTAAACACAATCGCATACACACGCACACACACATACACATCACTCATATTTGTACATAGCCGTAAGAAACGGGTAAATAAAAACTGGATATCGCTTTCACTTTAAAAACGTCTGAGATCTTTTTCTTTGTGCACTCTTCCCCGATCGAACCTCTTTCGAATCCTGAGATACGTAAAAACGACGAGCTAACTCCGCGCAGTCGAAAGTAAGGTCGTTACAATGGCGCCCGAACAGGGACACGACCATAAGGGAGAGGCACAGGCCGCACCGAAATCATGGATATACCGCCGTAGTAAAACGGAATTAATAGAAGAAATGAATGTTTTAGGCCTTAATACCGAAGGTACCCTCGATGAATTGCGACAACGGTTAAGCACGTATGTCGACGAACACCCCGACCGTTTCGCCGCCGCCGCCGCCGCTCCGCCCATACCACCGCGACGAGAGTCCGCCGCCTCGCCCGCTCACCCGTCGAACGATACCCTTAATCCGTTCACAGCGCACGACACGGCAAGCCCCGAGGAACGGCCGGCACAAATACTTAATCAAATGCGTAAATGGGGCCTGCAATTTGACGGCAAGGACCCCTGGTCATTTTTAGAAAGAATCGAAGAACTCAAAGAAGCCTACGAGCTGACCGATCGACAGTTTTTCCGGGGCTTGCCGATGTTGTTGAAGGGAGACGCGCAATTGTGGTGTCCGGGTAATAGGAAAAACTGGGAAAACTGGGGAGACTTCACCGAAAGTTTTAAAGCCGCTTTTCTACCACACGCCGACGCGTATCAACTACTCGAAGACGTCCACGCTCGAAAACAAAAGCCGGGAGAAACCTATTTCAAATACTCCACGTCGCTAATTGCGCTTTTAAATCGCGCCGGTATAACTGCGGAATCTCGGCAGGTCGAATACCTATACCGTAACATGCGCGTCGCCTATCAATGGCGTATTCGGTGGACAGACGTGCATTCGATACAAGAATTAAGCCGAGAGGCCGCGAATTGCGAGCGCCTCCAGCTCCTGGAGAAAGCGGAGCCAAAGGCGAAAGAAAGTACACCCGAAACCACCGCGGCCGTAGCCTACAGTAGCGACGAGTGCTGCTGGCGGTGGAAGCAACGCGGGCACACTCGATTCGACTGTAAACGCCCCCCGCGCAGATTTTGTTCGCAATGCGGAAAGGACGGGGTATTTACTAAGGACTGTCACCCGCCGCCGGGAAACGGGATACAGACCGGGGAAGTCCCGGCCGTCCCCCGGTCCCTCGAATAGAATTCACCCCGCGGCCGCACCTCGACATATTCGTCGACGACTATCGCCTACGAGCGTTACTGGACACTGGATCCGAAATATCGTTTATAAATAACGACGCGCGAGAAATATTACAAGAGGGACCGTACGAACTCGATAATGAAATAAAGGAAGTACAGCTAGCCGATGGGCAGATAATCGCCTTGCCGGGCTCAATTTCTCTACCAATCCGCGTAGGGACACGACGTCTACAACACGTAATCTGTATAATGCCCAATCTGAAGAGCCCCGTGCTCATAAGAATGGACATTTGGGCCCAACTAGGATACGCGATACCCGCGCCTCCACCGACCGCGATTACCAGTCACCCCGCCGTTATCGCGACTACCGAGGGACTCGCAGCAAATACACAGACCGAGGACCGCGACCTAGAAATATTTTTACGTAAAGAACTACCGAAGTTCGAAACAGTGCAGGGCCCCACGACCCTCACGCAGCACGAAATACGCGTAAAACCCGGCGTACGACCAATAAAGCAACGTTACCGCCCTCGCAACCCCGCCGTTCAAGCGGTCATCGATAACGAAGTCCGGGAAATGCTGCGCGAGGACATAATAGAACCCACGGTAAGCGCATGGAGCTCTCCGATAGTGATAGTTAGAAAAAAGAACGAGAAAAATCGTTTTTGCATCGATTTCAGACGCGTAAATGAAGTAACTGAGCCGGACGCGTATCCCCTCCCCCAGATAACCGCCACCCTCGACAAACTGCGGGGAGCAAAATATTTAACTACGCTAGACCTAAAAAACGGATACTGGCAAGTACCTCTCGCGCCACAGAGTAAGCCTATTACGGCGTTCACAATACCGGGTAAGGGCCTATACCAGTTCAAGGTCACGCCTTTCGGACTACACTCCGCGGCCGCTACTTTCCAACGCCTGCTAGACACGGTTCTCGGTCCCGAACTGGAGCCTAGAGTCTTCGTATATTTAGACGACATCATAATCGTAAACGACACGTTCAAAGAACATTCAGAAACTTACGGGAGGTATTCCGCCGGCTCCGCGAGGCCCAGTTAAGAATCAATCCTGAGAAGTGCAAATTTTGCGTAGACCAGCTAAGATATCTCGGACATATAATCGACCGACAAGGTCTTAGGACGGACCCAGAAAAGATAGAGGCGATAGAAAACTGGCCCGCTCCAAAAACGATCAAACAGATTCGGCAGTTTCTCGGAATAGCCTCGTGGTACCGTCGGTTCATTCAGAATTTCGCTACGGTAGCCGCCCTTACCGCGCTAACGCGTAAGAACGCCCGATGGGCTTGGGGGACTAGCGAAGCCGCTGCGTTCGAACAGCTCAAACATACGCTCACAACAGCGCCCGTACTCGCCTGCCCCGACTTTACGCGTCGATTCATGCTGCAAACGGACGCCAGCGGCACCGGGCTCGGCGCAGTGCTAACGCAAAACTTTCCGGAAGGCGAGCGCGTCATAGCTTACGCCAGTAGAACGCTGAGTCGACCGGAACAAAATTATAGCGCAACCGAGCTCGAATGCCTGGCCGTCGTCTGGGGCATCCGGCGCATGAGAGACTATCTTGAGGGATACCGCTTTACCGTAATTACCGACCACCAGTCCCTCAAGTGGTTACAGCGTCTCGAGTCACCATCCGGCCGCCTCGGGCGATGGGCGTTCGAATTGCAGCAATATGAATTTGACATTAAGTATCGAAGGGGAGCCCTGAATCGCGTAGCCGACGCACTATCGCGCCAGCCGATAGCCGCCGCCACCGTCAAAGCAAGCGCGTGCCCATGGTACCAACGCCTACTCGATGCCGTCCGAAATAACCCCCAAGAGCATCCGGATTATGAGATTAACAACGAACGTCTATATCGACATCTCTTACACGATCTTGACTTCCAGGAAACGCCCGCGGAAAGACAATGGAAAGAATGCGTGCCGCGAGAGCGCCGAGATGAGGTAATGCCACAGTATATACAGTAGCGCAACTCTCGGATTTTCGCGTGTACGAAATGGTACTGCACATGTGCGAGCTATGGGTGTAACCAATAACGTAACAGAATCTTTCTGTCGCACTTGCTCTGTTTGCTTTTCTATAGTGTTCTCTGTCGTTGAAATGCCCCAACGGCCAAAATTGGCGGTAAATGTGACAAAAGTGAATTCAAGGCGATTTAAAGTAAAAAGTCAGAGCAGTGTTATTGTTAAATATAAGACGTGTTAAAGAAAGTGAATAGAAAAGTGTTTTGTGTTTAATGTTTAGTGAATATAGTGCTAAGTGAAAAGTGAAAGTTAACCAAGAACGATTATTTTTTCTGTACAGAATAGTTAATCTGTATAGATTTTACAGATTTTCAATTCTTTTACAGAAAACTGCACTTTTGATCTTAGCTTTGTTGCAGGTGCTGCTTCTTAGAAGATAAAAAAAATATATATATATAAGATAAAACTGATAAAAAAAAATACAAAAAGATGTTAGCCCATAAATCGAAATGGTGTGTTGCAAAGGGGTGCAACAATAATATCACAGAGAAAAGACATTTTTTTTCGTTTCCAAAAGAGCATGACAGGTACATATTGGTTTTAATTATATTTTTAAGTATGTATAATTCAGTTTTTATATTATATTGTAATTTATCTGTAATTTTTCTATTTTTTGTACACACATTATAATCTACACACATTTAAATCTATAATCTATCTATACTAGATATATGTGTATTTTTATATTAACCATTTGTTGTAACACTTACAGATGGTTACAATGGATACATGCATGTCAAAGATTAGATTTACAAGTGATGGGTCCAGAGTACGCTTATCGCAATTGTAGACTGTGCCATTTGCATTTTGAAGAAAAGTGGTATAAAATAGGCAAAATTAGAGCTCATCTTTATCCTGATGCCATACCGACGATATTTTTTGAAAGAGAGTAAATAATAAACATTATGTACAATACAATGTATTATTCTGTATTCAATCTGATAATGTATAAACTGATATAACTTTTCCAGCAATATACTTGCAACAAGTGCAGTAAAAGAAGATAGTAATTCAACAACAGCGACAAGCGCACTAAAAGAAGATGGTAATTTAACAACAGTAGCAAGTGCACTAGAAGAAAATAGTGATAAGATAATTGGAAAAGATCAACAAAAAGAAACGAACAGGTTTTCAAACTTCTTCATATCTTTTTTTTCTTTAATAAAAATAATAGCCGATTTTGTTGACACCTATTTTTTATTGCAAAATACATATTTTATTTTTTGTCAAGGCAGATGTTTCTATTAAAAATATATGTGATATATTTTAGCAATATGCAGTTGTCAAAAGCAATTGATCCTATGGATATAGATATTGAGACCGCTGAGACATCCAAGATTGTTACACCGTAAGTTTTTATTTGGAATTAGTTACCGAGTAAACAATATGTGTATAGGCTGACGTCAGATTAGCGACAAATTTGACAGAATCAGCAGATCCATAGACATTTGCGTCACCAGACGGCAAGTGATCTGTCAACAGATTCTGTTTATCAGACTCTGTCGGCAGACTGGCTTGCAGTATGTTCGATTTAAATACACTGAAACGACAGATCCTATGTCGTTTCAGTATATTTAAATCGACGCGCAGTCTGCTGTCAGTCTGCCGTCACAATTTGATAAACAGATTTTGTGTGCAATCTGTTGCTTTTCTGTTAAAAGAGATTGCTTTGCAGGTTTGGCTATCTGGGTACATATACGCATTTCAAATATATTATTTTTATATGATCAATTTATAAAAATCACACACACACACATAACAATTTTTCAAAACTTAAATATTTTTCGTAGCTTTACACTTTTATATAATTTTGCTGTTTTCCTTTAAATTTATTTTAAACAAAATAGAAATATATTAATGTAATAATATAATTTTGTTCATTTATAGTATTCTAATTCTTTTTTTCTATTTTTTTGTGTAATTACGTTTTGGTTTTCAATCATATACAATATACATATATACATGTATTTCAACAATGTTATATTTGTGTAGGAGTACATCTAGCAGCAAGCATTTAATAAGTCGTGTAGAAGAAACTCCATGAAAAAGGAAAATGAAGGAACGGCATTTAAAATTACAAGCAGAAAATAGAAAGCTGCGC